TGATTTTCCCTATATGCATATAGTAAAAACTTAAAAGATCTTCTTTTAAAGAACCCAAAGAGCTAGAGCTAAGATATTTAGCATGAAACATGTTCTAATGGATGTCTACCAAGTTTGTTCAAATAAAAGCCCTTGGGTCAAAATTGGCCGGCCCCGGGGGTCATTGATTTTCCTTTTGTGTGTATATAGCAAAAACTTAAAAGATCTTCTTTTAAAAAAAACAAAACAAATAGCTAGAGATAAGATACTAAGCATGAAACAATTTTCTTGTGAGTGTCTACAAAGTTTGTTCAAATAAAAGCCTGGGGTCAACATTAGCCCCACCCCGGGGGTTATTTATTTTCGTTATGATTATGTGTATAGCAAAAACTTAAAAAAAATCTTCTTTGAAAAAAAATCAAATAGCTAGAGTTTAGATATTTAGCATGAAACATTTTCTAGTAAGCGTCTACAAAGATTGTTCAAATAAAAGCCCTGGGGTCAACAGGGGTGTCATTGTTTTTAACTATATGTTTAAAGAAAAAACTTTAAAATCTTCTTTTGAAAAACCCAACGAGCTAGACCTTAGATGTTTAGCATGAAACATCTTCTAATGGTTGTCTACCAAGTTTGTTCAAATAAAAGCACTTGGGTTTAAACTGGCTCTGCTCCAGGCCCCGTGTTCACAAAGATTTAAGGATCAGGATCAAGATCAGGATCAAATATAAAAACCCTGATATTCTTCATTGTTTATCCTCATAGATAAATATCTGATAATAAATGTTATAAAACTGGACTTGAAATAGCAAGTATATGAAATTTTAGAATAAATTAATTGTTTATTTGGCAAGATATGGGCATTTTACAGTTGATCCAAATATTGATCCTGATCCTAAAATTGATCCTTATTTTGATCCAAATATTTTTGTATTTGTTTTGTTATTTGTTGATTTTATCCAAAAATAGTTGTTTTTTTTCGTTGCAAATCAGCATATTTTTACATTTTGAATATTTACAATTTAATTCAACAAAACACAAATACTTTTAGTAACATTAAACAATGAAAATAAAATCAGGATCACTTGATCCTGATCCTGATCTTTTCTTAGTGAACACGGGGCCAGGGGCCTATATACAGGTGAGCGACTTCAGGGCCATCATGGCCCTCTTGTCTATATATATACCTCTCTGATTTACACAAAGATAAGAATAATATAATATATAACTCGTAAGAATTTATAAAATTCTTAACATAGAAAACAAATGGTGCTAATTTAAAACATTAGGTTAGTGTTTTTGTGTCGCCTTGAAAAAGGCGACATAATAGGGGTTACTTTTGTCGGCGTCAGCGTTGTAGTCCGCATCATTGTCGGCGTCCCCTTAAGCTTGTCCGGAGCATAAGTCAGTCATTATAAGTCAGGATGACTTCAAACTTGGTATGCATGCTTCTTATAATGACCTGAAGTGCAGTGCACAAAAACCGTTACTCTGCACTTAATTTTTTAGTTATTGCCCTTTGTTAATTATCATACTTTATTTTTGTCCAGGCCATTTGTCCTAATGTATAAAAGCTATGAACTTGAAACTTCATAGGATGATAGATCTCATTAAGAAGAAGTGCAGTGCACAAGAACCAGTACTCTGCATTTCTTATTTTTTGAGTAATTACCCTTTGTTAATTTTCATACATTATTTTTGTCCATACCATTTCTCCTCAAGTATAAAAGCTATGGACATGAAACTTCATAGGATGATAGATCTCATTAAGAAAAAGTGCAGGGCACAAGAAAGGGTACTCTGCATTTCTTATTTTTTGAGTAATTACCCTTTGTTAATTTTCATACTTTATTTGTGTTCAGGCCATTAGTCCTAAAGTATAAAAGCTATGGACATGAAACTTCATAGGATGATAGATCTCATTAAGAAGAAATGCAGTGCACAAGAACAGGTACCCTGCATTTCTTATTTTTTGAGTTATTGCCCTTTGTTAATTTTCATACTTTATTATTGTCCATGCCATTTCTCCTAAAGTATAAAATCTATGGTCTTTAAACTTCATAGGATGATAGATCTCATTAAGAATAAGTGCAGTGTACAAGAATCAGTACCTTGCACTTCTTATTTTTGAGTTTACCCTTTGTAATTTTCGTACTTTATTTTTGTCCTGGCCATTTCTCATAAATTATAAAAAAAACTATGGACTTTGAAACTTCATAGGATGATAGATCTTTTTGATTAAGAAAAGCAGTGCACAGAAACTGCTGCTCTGCACTTCTTATTTTTTGAGTTATTGCCCTTTGTTAATTTCCCATAGTTCATTTTTGTCCTGGCTATTTCTCCTAAAACTGTATTGTTCACAAGGCGACACATTCGACTCGCGGAGTTCTAGTTATGCCCCCACAAAGTGGTTAGCATATAGCGTTGCACTTGTCCGTCCGTCCGTTCGTCTGTCAGACGTAACCAAATAGGGTTAGGGGGCCATCTAACAGTAAACAGAACAAAAGAGAACAATAGAGTTCATTCCGTAACAATAGAATAAGGGGCCATGGCCCTCTATTAAACAAAAGAAAATAACAAAAGAAATGGCTTTAAGTCCATTTAGGTGGCACGGACATACGTCCGTCCGTCCGTCCATACGTCTGTCCGTACGTCCTGAAATCTTGTGAACACAACTCCTCTTAAACCAGATGGCAGATTTTGCTTAAACTTTCAGGGATGAACAACCTTCATGTGTAGATGGTAGTGAAGGAAGTAATTTACGCTGCAACCAAATTTAAAAAAATTATAGCCCTTTGTTGATTTTTTCACTATATACTATGTAGAAATTTTGTGAACGCAACTCCTCTTAAACCGGATGGCAGATTTTGCTTAAACTTCCAGGGATAAACAACCTTAATGTGTAGATGGCAGTAAAGGAAGGAATTTTTGCTGCGACCAAATTTAACAGAATTATGGCCCTTTGTTGATTTTTTTACTATACACCATATTATATGTTGTCAGTGGGGGCATCCGTGTCCTTTGGACACAGTTCTAGTTTAAGACATGTATCTGTATCTTTTTCAAAGTCCCAAAATTTTAAATGGAATATAAATTATTATATAATTTAAGTGATTGATATATGCAAATAATGAAATGATCAAATTCTGGTTTATTTTCAGATGTTGTTGTTAAGAAGATTTTTTCCTGTTCCTCGCAGAAGGGCAGAAACATACTTGGATGGGGAAAATGTGCATAAACTTTGCATAAGTTTTTGTTGAAACTTCCAATTGATAATGAAGAATGCTGCCAAATATTGTTTGTTACAATATTTGAATGACTGTAAGAGATGTTGAGTGATTGGTATTCACACAGGTGCCGTTTTAGTGCAAAACAATACAAGCATATGTTGAATGAACACACAAGATTGTGCCTTACTATAAGGTAGCAGTATGTTCAGGATATTCGATTGGTATAAACCCAACACAACTACAATGTAGTGTGGATATATACTAGAATCAGATTGCCTGTCCGTCTGTTTAGATACTGAATTAACTTGATAGATAGATCATGTATGTTATTGTTGTGGAATGTAGTTCCTAGTATATCACTATTGCCTGTTGCAATTTGAAAAGAAGATTTTGTTTAATAGATGAAACTGGCTAGGTGTTACTATTTTAGCATTAGTATGATGTTAGATCATATTACATGTACGTCAATTTTTATATGCACATTTGAAAAACAAGACATACAATGGAAACCTGGTTGGCAGGCAGTGTCCACAAACCAAAATCAAGGGGTAAATGACTCCCAAACTTCCACTAAAAGAAGAAGCCCTGCCCATGCAGGAGTTTTAATGGAAACTTCATAGAAATTCTCATTCTGATGAAAGGTCAAGGTCACATTTTCATTTATTTGACCAGTTTTGAAATGAAAAGCAATTTTTGTTCGATCGATCGAACAATATATATTTTTTCGATCGATCGAACAAATGTTAATTTATTTAGTACAGATTGAGAGAGAAATTTTTAAATACAGTGTTTGAACATTTTTTGTTCGATCGATCGAACAAAAATGTTTGTTTTAAATTCATTTGATTTTACAAGTTTTTCGTAATGAAAAGAAATTTTGTTGGATCGATCGAACAAAATGTTTTGGTTTTTTAGTACAATTTCAGAGAGAAATTTTTCAATATAGGGTTTGAACCGTTTTGTTCGATCGATCGAACAAAATATTTATTTTAAATTTTTCATTTATATGACCAGTTTTGGAAATGAAAAGAAATTTTGTTCGGTCGATCGAACAAAATATATATTTGTTCGATCGATCGAACAAAATATTATTTTTTTTAGTACAGATTGAGAGAGAAATTTTCAAATACAGTGTTTGAACATTTTTGTTCGATCGATCGAACAAAATGTTTGTTTTAAATTTCATTTGATTCAACAAGTTTTGGTAATGAAAAGAAATTTTGTTCGATCGATCAAACAAATAAAGTGATAAGAAGGTTGCCCTTTTTGTTCGATCGATCGAACAATATATATATGTATTTGTTCGATCTATCGAACAAAATGTTTGTTATATGTATTTATTCAATGTTTTAATTCAAATTTTTAATAAAATTGAATGAAAAAAAGAGTCACTTGTTCTTTTTTGTATTCACCATTTATGAAAAATAACTCCAATATTTACACCCAAAATCCCTATTTTTAGGCTAAAAAGAGGGACTGATTGGACAATCCATTTTTATTTTGGAACGAGATATATATAGGTTTGTGAAAAATATTTGCATCTACAAAATACCTTTCAAAAACACTGGATCCCAAGAAGGATACAAGAACGTGGAAGAAATAACAATAAATTTGGAGAAAACAAACGTTCATACAGTGCTAAAGTATAAATACCCAAGTACTTTCGGCGTATTATGCCTTCATCAGGGGTGTATTACATGTATAATTTGCATCTATATATTATATATATATTATATATATATATATATATATATATATATATAATATTATAAAAGAAAACATATTTACCATTGAAAAAGTTACTTCCGGCATAAACAAACCAAAGTCGGTTCCGTAGCTCCAGTAACATATCATCGTTTCGTAATTTTTTCACTTATACAATCAAAATCACGAACTTCCTCGGGCATTGCTGAAAAATGATTTTTCTTTTAATATCATAAATTATACAAACAATTCTATAACAAGACTGAACTCAACTGAACTAAACGTATTAGCTTGTTTTCTATTTAGTTAAATACATATGCTTTATGTAGAAAAAGAGTTAATGTAGTTAATTAATAATCTGGGCGGGCCGAAAGAAAAAATTCTAAAGGTCATTTAAATACTGGGGAAAACCCAAAAAAATTTTGGAAAAAATTGGGCCAGGGTAAGGGATAATCTTTGGGATAAATTTTTTTTATACAAATATGATTTTTATAGTCGGGTTTTTTTTCCCCGAAAAAAACCACACATAAAAACATGCATATTTCTTTATATTTTTCCTAAAACCAAAAACCTTTTTTAAACCAAATCAAAAACTTTTTAACATTTTTAACTTAAATTTGAGCATACCCTTTTGGACCGTTTAAAAAATTCTATATTTATATCTGGTTTAACATTCAAAAGGGGTGGGTTTTTGGTCGCTCCAACATTCGTAAAAGTCTTAAATTTGCGAAATTTTTCCTACCTTAAAACCCCTTGGAGAAGGCCCCGGATGCCCCCCCGCCCAGGTTTTCGTTTTCCCATTAAATCCTAGATATAAAAATTTTCTGGAAATAATTATTGAGAGGATGAAGTTTGGGACAATTGGAATTCACCCAACATTAAGAAGGTGGGCATGCGGTGAAGTAGAGGGGACATTTATTTTGTTTCATCAAAGTTTACTGGCAAGAGTGTAAAAAAGGGGTTTGTTTAAAACTTATTTATATTCATTTTGGGTTGCCGATAATAATTTTATTTATTGGATTTGTCGGATTTTAATGTCACAACGACCAGTGTACATACATTATTGCGACTTTCTAGCTTTACAAGTTGGTGCACCTTTGTGCATTTGTTTCGGGCAGGAACTGGTACCTCAATAAAGCAATAAGCTTCCATCAAAAGTCCTTTCAACAGTGGTGAGTTGCAAGTGATTTGGAGCTAGTTAAATTTACTTTCAATAAATATCACATGCAATATGCATTATTTTCTGCAGATTTTTTTTTATCAAATCAGACCATATTTTATTATATTTTTCAATTGCTTGACCTTGAGGATAAAATAATAAGAAATATAGTATCTGAACTTACGGAAAAAACGTGCTGTGGTGGTTTCCCCAAGCTGCAACGTTTTATTATTATCACCAAAGACTTGCCAATAATAGCTGTTAACATGCATATAGTGCGGTATTTTTAGATCAGTTAGAGGCGGGATATAGGGCACTGTATATTCAGCCATCGTATCATTAATGTATGTGACATTATTCTGGTCGACAGTAACGAATTTTCCGTTTGTGTCTCTAGATTGATAAGTAAAGCCGATGGAGTAAGTCGTTACTGGATCGTCCTTAAGTACACCTGTGAATGTAATACTCTGAGTTGTACACACGTTTGGATCTTTTGGAAGGATTTCACCGTCGAACCTTTTCTGCTCATCTGTTTTAAAAGACCAATTCAAATAAAGCAATGAGTTGAATTAATCATGTTAACATAAAAATATTCAAAACTGCAAATAACTGATAATGAAATAATTGTAATAATAAAGAGTTTTGATTGCAATAACGAACTCGTGGTATTCGTTACAGTGTTTTATCAACATAAAACGCCGGGGCGCGGGATTGTAAATAAAAGCCATTTAATTTAAAAAAACGATAATTTACAACTAGTGTAATAAACACCTTGACGTGACGTCATTTACGCTAACATATACACATAGCGTTAAAAAGTTGCGCTAATTGCAAAGCGTACATACTAGAGGCACGTCAATAAATAATGACTCGTTTTAACTGTAAAACCGTATTGTTTAAACCGTTATCCCTTTTTTTAAATAATGTTTGATAAAAAGAAATATTATATTCGTTGTAGATTCAATACTAAATCTTTTGAACTCGTTTGAATAAAAACAATGTTATGCTCCGCCAAAGAGGAACTCGCATAGTATGAAGTTTATTCAACTCGTTCAATAAATTTAGTATTAAACCTACACTCATTTAATATCATCTATAATATGGGATATCTTAAGTAAATTTGACGATCGTTTAATGTATAAGGTTTTTGCTAACGAATGTTGGAAGGTAACGACACATTAAGTGATCAGTTTTGCTAGTAAGAATAATTTAAACAGCAACATATTTGTTTTCAGTTACTAAGTACACATGGAAGTAATTTGTTAATTGTAGCTTTATTTCACTCTTATATTTACATACAGCCGTTTATACAGGGCCATATAACCTGTCAACAATCTTTATAAAATATAAATGTCAATTCTAAACCAAGTTAACAAAATATATGTTCACTCAAATCAGTGTAAGGGTAGCTCTAAATCGGGGTGCAGATATTCGTAATCTTCTTTTATTCGTGCAGGTTTTGAATAAACACGCAGTTAGAGACTAAATCGCTCCGAAGACGCCCCAGTAACAATAATTTCCTCCTGTACCATAACAACACCCCATCGCCTACATCTGAATAAACCACCAACTAATAGAAACGCTTACACTTCAAGTATGTTCCCCTTCCTCCTAACTCCACCTATCGTTCACCTACCTAGCTCTATAATTCCCTCTACTAAAAGACGAACTATGTAGTGTGATAATGAATTCATTGCAAGAATAACGTCCTCATTAATTCAATATTTTCTATGGAATCGCAAAGGAAGATTATCGATTTTTTTCCGTTGACGTTCAACGTCAAAATGTGTTTGTATGACATTTCCCTGCCTTCTTTTAGGTCGACTAAAATTTAATTACACTACAAATTATATTTGACTTCATGTGATTGTTTGAACGAGATCTTGTAATAAATGTATTTATGATCATTTGAAATCATCCTAAAGACTAACGAAAAATAGTAAAAAGGATAACACGAAACATAGTATTTAGGATTACACTTCGTATAACACTTAAGAAAAGACGAGGGCAATCCTATTGTTTTCTATAAGTGTTAAATTCTGTGTTCCATTTAGATGAATTCACACATAAAGACGATACTTAAAGAATAAAGACGCTACACCTTTTTGTTGCGTTATGTTAGCAAGAGGGAAAAAGGGGGATATCGATTATTTTAAAATGGTTTGCGAGGACTGAAAACAAGTAAAGTAAACGGACCGATACAAATGATGTAACGCGGCAACAGCAAACGGAGAGATCCCATATGTAAATTTTAGCGCGCTGAAATACTAATTCTAGGGCCAACTGTTCGATCGACATGACCCATTACTTTGGTAAAAGTATTTCGGATGAGACATAAATATGAGATAGATTTTCCATTGCTCGATGCCAAACACCAGGTGTATACAAGAACAAAGGTTGTCGCGAAAGACATACGACAGTAAATAAACCGAAAAAGAAAGAATAATAAACGCAAACAAGACAAAATACGCCGGCATCGCGGATAGACGATTTCAAGAAAGTGATTAAATCAGACATCAGTGCCAGCACATATTTAATGACAAATGTCAAATATCACTGCGGGAAAGTACAATGCCATTCTTTGGTTTTAATATTATAATTAGTGTTCAGTTGTATCTTATTTAAACACAACTCTGGGGCCCACTTCAACCCTACACTGCACATATTCATTGTTAACTGTCAAAATTAAATGCGGACACGTATCAGGGTCTTTCATTTGTTTAAATAATATTGACTATAGTTTGAGTATAGTATAATATTGTCTTGTTTGTATTTCAATACAATATTGTTTTGAATTTGCAAATAATTTCATATAATTTTAAAGACATTTCATATATATTGTGTAATGTATTTACCGGTGTCCCCACTGTACCAGAACGCCTCTCCACATGGTATAAAACAGCTGAACACCACTGTAAGAAACATTTTCCTTAGAAGACGGTCCATTTATGCATCTGGTTCTAAATACAAAAAAAACATGAAATAGGTCTTTAAATTTAGAAGATACATGTATGAAAGTGTTACAGGCTGACATATTTCTTGACTAAAGTATATAAATATATTTCTTTTATCAATTTTCAAAAGATTGACAATTATAATGGTGATAGAACAATAATAGATAATTGCAAATGTATACGATGAGATATTAAAACAGCCTAAACTATTAAAATACTACCCAACTCTTTTTACCGAAGGATTTTTAAAAGTATTATGAGATGGCGATTACCGATAATTCAGGTGACTTTTATTATTAAAAGGAAAGCAAATATGATGAAATGAAAAGTGATTTCGAATTTACCTTATCACTCATCACTTACTCTTAGATGGGCATAATGTTACTTAAACATGTTTAAGATATATAATTTCACGATTTAACTAATTTTTCTTCGGGCTAATTTGTGAAATCGCAAACCGACGATCATGTTAAAGCCTTTTGATAGTGAATTGTTTGAACATGTTATCATGTCACCTGCTCAATTATGTTGAATACTAATGTAATTCATTTTTTAGTTTGTTTCACTGAGACAACAAGACCTACAATCATATTAAAGACAAAAAATGGTTATGGTTAAAATAAGGTTCAAATCCACGATCAGTACATGTATTAGCAGATGTCTTAACCGTTAAGTCACCGCTCGTTCCATATGCGAAGATTATTAAGATAACATAACATGACATGGCATCACGTGACATGGCGTGACGTAACGTAGCATAACGTAATGTACTGTCATGTAATATAATAAAATAATACACACGAATATAGAACAACATATCATAATATGTCTACATGTATATAAGCATAGCAAATTAACAAAATTTCAAACGAAATATACCTAGAATATCCTCTCAAATCCAAATTTAAAAATCCATTATAATTATAATATGCCTGTTTATAATAAACGTTAATGGGTATTAACACTTCATATTCATTCAGACACAATACGTAATAATACCCGTATGAATGAACTATCAAGTAATGCGTTTATTTGTTAAGCTATAGACTTTTCTCGAACATGAAGTTGATTTTAAATGTTGTAAAAGTAAATTTTTAAATGGAATGAATAAAATTGCTAGTCACGCTGATGAAAAGCTCCATTTACGGCAACTATAATTTTTGTCATTATAACCGACATTTCATTAAAATGTAGAAAAAAAAATAAAGTGTAAAAAATAACTGTATAAATGAACGAAGTATGATGTAAATTAAAAGATAAATGAGACAAGATATGCATCATATGTTTACGCATCGGGTAGCTGCAAATACTAACCAATAAACAAGCTTTATAACAGACAAAAATAGTTTTAAACCACAATGTCATAATGTTTATATAACAAAGATAGTTTAAATGCAAACGATGCTGTGAAAGCGTTATCAAGCGGTTTCAAGTCGAAAAGCCGTGATTTTAACATTTAAACATTATCTAGTTATACAGATTTAAAGTTTTTTTTGACAGTGAAACATAATCATATTAAATGTATGTACAGTATACAGTTGCCTTATATAAGTTTTGAACAAACTATGTACACGAAATCAAAAATAAATAAATAAATAAATAAATAAATAAATAAATATATATATATATATATATATATATATATATATATATATATATATATATATATATATATATATATATATATATATATATATATATATATATATATATATATATTATATATATATATCAATATATATATAAATAAATATATAAATGAATAAAATAAATAAATAAATAAAAATATTACATTATAAAAATATCAACATACCGGGCTATGGATGTGAATCTCTTCCCTTCTGTAATCTTAATCCTATATACAGGACATTATAAACTACAAAACGTCATTCAAATTATCGTGCAAAAAATAATGACTTGTTTTAACTAAATCACTAGTCTACCCTAGCTAGCAACAAATAAACAGGTCAATAAATTTGGAGACTATTCTTTTTTAGATAAAGCCTTAACAGTTGGCACACTAGCACAATTAGCAAATTAATATCTTAACCCTCCTAGAAAAAACTTAGAAATTAGGGAAAAAAATAAATATTTTCCTTTGGTTTGTTAACAAATTTTTCAGTATAACTTGGTTTGAAAATAATATTTTTAGCTGAATCTTTGCTATTAGATGAAATTCTAGTTGCATATTGAAGTGATAGCTTTTTTCGACGAAGATGAAGAGATGGTTCCCCAGCTTCCGCATATAGACTTTTTACAGGTGAAGTGCGAAAAGCACCTAAAACTTAACGTTAACCCTGGTGATGTATGGTATCTAGCATTTGAAGATATGATTTTCTTGCAGACCCATATACTACCATAATCTAATTTTGATCGGATAAGACTTCTGTATAATTTCAGAAATGTGGAAGAATTTGATCCCCAATTTGTACTTGATAAAACCTTAAGTAAATCTAAAGCTTTTAGGCATTTAGTTTTCAAATGTTTAATATGTGGAATAAAAGAAAGTTTTTTATCAAATATAATTCCTAAAAACTTAGCTTCATCAACTACTGGCATTTTAGAACCAGATATGTAAAGTTCAGGGTCATTATGTTGTTTCCGCAATCGACAAAAATGAACACATTGAGTTTTTGACTTTGAAAATTTAAAACCATTTTCTATATATATGAAGGTCTTCAGCCATAAAGGAGGATTGCTTTTTAAAGGAGGTAATACTTTATTTAAATCCCATGTATTACAAATGCTTCATCCTTATTAAAAAAACTTTCGGTCATATAATGCTCCGCCTAGCGGTGCTTTTGTTACATATTGTGGTTGATACAAATAAAATAACTATAAAATGAAATAACTATAGTTAAACAGATAAATCATTCTATTTCAGGCATCTGTACACATTCATTATTTGAAAGGTACTCCCGTTTCATCGACCTCTAGGCGTTTAATTTTAAAATCATTACAATATGATGAATTTGAAAATCATAAAGGATACATTAAATGTATTTTAATTTCACGCATAGGGTACGGTAAAAAACACCTCTGCTACCCGTAAGGTATTTTCACATACAAACGTCACAAATCGTGTATGTGTCATTTACATACATTAAACCAAGTTAGTAATAGAAATTTCTATCATATTCACTGTTTAAAATATTTACTAAACTTGCATTAGTAATGTTTGTAAAATGAAATTTTATTGAACATTGTTAAAAATAGTTATGTATCATACAATGTTAACAAAATAAATTTCAGCATAGGTATGCGGTTTACTACCTCTTGAAATCTTAGTTCTGTACAGGAAAAAATCATTTTCATTTCTAAAGATTAACGTGTTTTGTAGCCATCAAACGCTGTAGATTTCTTAGATAATAATATAATTAAGGTTTTTGCAGTTATGATTATTTTTACTTTTGCCGATCATATTGACGCTGAAATTAAATATTACGTGAAGTTGAGAAATTTATGCCGAGATTGTTAACATGCATTAAGTAACTTTTTTTCACTAATATGAAAAAGTGAATAAAAGTTGCTACGTACTTCACTTTAGTGTTGTTAAATTTTTCTCGTCCTTCGAGATCAATGATTTTAGCACTTTTAAGTGTTGAGAATTGAGAACCGCTCATGCCGCTACTACAGGACATGGGGAACGCTGCAGTCTTTAATTATCCCTCATGTACAGACTCAATTAAACCAAGTCTGCAATTTCCATGTAATTTTGTTTTGATGAATGCTTCCGAGGGATCACTCTTGTTCCATTACTTTTTAAAACCTTTTCTGTAGTCAATACGCATTTTGTTCCTGAACAAATTATTGTAAGGTTAAGTGTTTTGGCCATGAATATACCCTTTTTATGAAAAATGAAAAAAAAAACAACAACAACAAACAGACTTAATGCAATAGGATTTAAATTTATCATTTACGTCTTATCATATGTCACTCGCTGAAAATAATTGTGCCGACATGATAACATATCCGGATATGCAAGTTATTGACACAATTGCATGTGGTGAAATAAAAAAAAAAACTTGGGCACTCCTACACGTTATATTGCAAAAGCAAATAGATATTAAAGACATGTACATTTAAATTAGATTTATTATCAAACATACAAAAATCGTATAATTTAAGAAAATGTTCATCAATTTCTCCCTTGACTCCCTCACTCAATGTGAAATATCAATTTAGATATATTCTCACCAATGTCCTTAATGGACATTTTGATAATTATACCTAACTAAATGAATCAGTACAATTAATCCAATTAAAGACTTGACTATAATACGTCGCAATTGAACAAGTTGAATTTACAAAGGTTAAATAGTAAGCAAATATTTCAAACTTTTTCTATGTGTGCAGCCGAATATGTAAACGCAGAGGATAACGTTGCGATATTTTAATCAACTGTCGTTCACCGCATTAAGATTGAATCTCGAGGAAATACCATCTTAATGTTCTTTTTGTAACTCAAGGCTCTTTCAAAATTATGAAAGACCGACCATTTCATCTTCATGAAGTCCCGATTTTATCACCATGAATTCACAATTTTGACTTCATGAATTCACGTTTTCAACATACGGTAATCACGAATTCACGATTTCAGCTTCATGAATTCACGATTTAAACTTCATGAATTCACAATATCACCATCATGAATTCACGATTCCAACTTCATGAAATCACGATTTCAATTTCACAAATTCACAATTTCAACTTAAGGAATTCAACTTCGTGTATTCACGATTTAAACTTCAAGAATTGACGATTTAAACTTCACTTATTCACGATTTCATTTTCATGAAGTGATTTTTATGAATTCACGTGTTCAGCATATGGGAATCGAGAATTTACGATTTCAGCTTCATGAATTCACGATTTAAACTTCACAAATTCACGATTTAAACTTCATGAATTCAACTTCGTGAATTCACGATTTAAACTGAACAAATTGACAATTTAAACTTCATTAATTCACGATTTCAATTTCATGAAGTAAATTTCATGAAGTCACGTTTTAAACAAATGGAATCACGAATTCACGATTTCAACTTTCTTAATCCACGATTTCAACTTCATCAAGTCACGATTTCAACTTCACGATTTTTACGATTTCAACTTCACGAATTGACGATTTAAACTACACTAAGTGAATTTCATGAATTCACGTTTTCAATATACGAGAATCACGATTTCAGCTTCATGAATTCACGATTTTAACTTCATGAATTCAAAATTTCAATTTTATGAATTCACGATTTTAACTTACAGGAATTGACGATTTAAACTTCACTACTATACGATTTTAATCTCATGAAGTGAATTTAATGAATTCACGTTTTCAACATACAGGAATCACGAATTCACGATTTCAACTTCATGAATTCACGATTTCAACTTCACGATTTCAACTTTATGAATTCACGATTTTAACTTTACGAGTTCACGATTTCAATTCTATGAATTCAACTTCGTGATATGATGATTTCAACTTCACGAATGACGATTACTTCAAAAATTCACTATTTCAATTTCATGAAGTTGAAATCGTGTATTCATGAAGTTGAAATCGTGCAGTTGAAATCTGGAATTTATGAAGATAAATTCGGGAATTTATGAAGTTGAATGTTCGAACGGTCTTTCGTACAATACTGTACACTTATGAACTTCTGAAATTTCAACATATTGCCCTTATATTTTTATGAATTCTCTATATTAATATGAAGATATAAAACCCGACCGTAAGACTGTAATTGCAAACACGTGTTGGATACAAGCTAATTATACAATTCATTAAAATTCTTACAGTGGCTCGTAATCTATTATTTTATTAACTTATTAAAAAAGAACAAAAGTTTAAGGATTTTTACGGAACAATACATTCAAGTTTTTAAATGTTATTTTTGTGATTCAGACGAAGTTTGGTTTTAAGACTAGCTTGAAAATATTGTGTTTATTTCAAAGAGCAGAGGCGGTATTGTCGCATTATTTTCTGTACATAAATGGATACATGGCCATTTGTAAGTCTAAGCGTGTGTCGCAAAGAAACAATGTGTCACTTGAAATTACTTTATGTTATCAATTTACCTAGAAACTGACATTTGTTTTCCATTTCTAAGAACGGAGGCAGTAGAATTTCTTTTAATCCATCAAAAAGTCAAGGACATTCATTTTCATAAATCCTAGCGCATTTCCAATGCAACGAACCAAACCATCTTATAATAAAATTAGTTTGTTTAAGTGAACGCAATGCACCATTACATCGACATTTTATTGCAGGTTATCTTATATCATAAAACGAGTGCAG